GTTGACTTTTGTGGAAATAATGCATTGTATTTATAGAATATGGCCTCTACCAATTAATGCTACTCCAATACTGTTGAGGTTAGGGGGATCTACCGCCAAGCTTAAACAGTGTAACACCAAGAAAAGAAAGACAGTCTGGGGAAGAAGAAATAAAATTAACTGAATAAATCCTAATTTGGAAGGGAGAGAAATGACAAATGGAAGAAAAATGCAAATGGCAGAGAGGCAAATAGTTTCCTCTAATGTCTATGTCTCTTGATAATATTTTAGAACGAAGATTATATATGGGCAGCTAAAGCTGAAATATGAGTAATAAAAATATCTTGAATCCTACTGGAATATCATGTTCTACAGTATTTTTTTTCTGTTCTTGAGGAAGACAAAAATTACATTTTAAGTAAACTGCCACAAAGGAAAACACAATATACCGTCACACCTAAGTTGAAAGTGTACAATAACGTTCACTCCAAGCTACCTTCTCTTCTTCACCCATCCCTTAGTAACTCCTAATTTTTCAAGGGAGTATCCTTTTTTGGGTGATGGGGGAGACTATGCCTACAATCCTGAGCAATGATTTCCTGACTGCTGAGTAGCATTAGTCATGCATCCTCCTCATGCCCTTAAATGGGAGGACAAGCCTACACTGATGCTATCAGATGAATTTAAACAAGGCATGTTCTAAGAGATTTCTCAGAGCCAGACAACACTCCTGCAGCAACCCCTTTTTAAACAGAAGTGTGTTTTGTTTCATCTTACACCTGGGTGAAAGCTGCTAAGAGATGTGTAGACCAACTTTCCATGGCTGTGAACACCTATGGTGTGCAACAGGCCTGATATAGAGCCAGGGTGTTGTGCTAGGAAGCAAAGTTGAGATCATTATCCTTAGTGCTAAGAAGAGAGTGTATTTCTTTTTTTTTTTTTAAACTATTTTTTTTTTAATAGAGGCATGTTTTATTTATTTATTTATTTATTCATTTGTTTGTTTTTGTTTATACATGCACTGGGTACAGTCAGAAGCGCGGGAGGGTGAGAGAATTCACCAGAGCCAGAGGGGGGAGCAGAGCAGGCAGAAGGACCGAAGTACACTGCTGAGGGGAGCAGCGGGCGGCGGGAGAGGTCTGCGCGCCATGTGGGACCCTCCTCTGGTGGCTGGGGAGCAGCCGGGGATCGAACCGGCGCTGCAGAGGCTGCTGGCAGCTTCGCAACCCAGCGCTCAACCGCTGCGCCACCGGGGAGGCCCCAGAGAGTGTATTTCTTTTGATGAATAGTTTGGTCTTTATCTTAGATGAGGGCAGTCATTCACTCCTTCATTCATTTGTTCTTTCATTCACCATTCCAACATGGGCACCTACATGAGGCCCAGGCACTGGTTTTTGGGCTGAACAACTTTTATGACAGAAGAGTTCCAATGACTTCTATCATTTAGCGAAGACAAATATCCCAGCTAATTTTTAATCAGGGCTAATGAGAAAAAAATCAGTTTTAATTTTTACTGCTTTAACTCACTGATTCTTGTGCCACAGGAAGGTAGTATGACATGCTGGGAGGTTAACGTACCAATAACTGGAGCCCCCTGGTTTAAGTGCCAGTTCCATCACTAAGGGACTGCGTGACTGTGGGTAATTTACTTCTCTGGGCTTCACTTTCCTTTTTTGAAATAGTGGGTTGGACTTAAGATTCCTTCCATCTCTAAAATTCTTTCTTCTATATGGTAATACATTCCACAAAGTTTCCTTTGTGGCTTGAATTAGTGTGATTTCCCAGCTCAAGTTTCCCTTTTGCCCTCTTTGATTGTTAAACCAAATATGAACAAGAAGCAATAACATTTTGTCACAGCCAGCTAATTGCCCTTCCACAAAATGACCTTTGGAGGTCAGGCCACCCATTGCAATGTCTAAATCCAAAGGCAATGGTATGACCAACTTGTGAGTTGGCAGGCTGCCATACAAAAGGATGGAAATGGTTGCAGGCAGCCAAAATTCTTGGCTGGTACACTTTTAATAAACACAGAAAATAAGAACAGCGTTTTCCACTTGGGTTGTTTAATTTGGTGCCCATACCATTGAAACATTTGCTGTTAGGATAAAGATGATGTGATATATCACTTATTTAGTGCAAGATGGATTAACTTGCACAGATGAGAAGTAGGTTATGGAGTCATCTGTAAGGAATTTTTATCCTTGCTTCTTGTCTCTGGCAAGAGATAGTTTGAGTCATTAAAATAAAGTCTCCACCCCCTTTGGCCCTTTGTAAGAGTTTTCCCTGAAACATAAGCTCTGTTGGATTTACTGTATTCCTATGAATGGACTAAGGCAAATTGGTGTGATTTCTTTGTGGTTGAATATGTCTTATTAATTCTTTTTCAGGATGATTCAATATGTCTTATTATTATTTTTCCAAGAAAAAAGCCTCCAGAGCAAATGTTCTTCAGTTAATTTGGAGAATAATATTTTAGGTGCATGTGTTTTAGTTACATAAATTACAGCGAGTATTGATGTTAAGACAATGAACCTCATAGTCAATAGCGATGATTTTTTAATTGTACCTACTACATTAATTCATCCAGTGCTTGAATTTTATAGTTGTCTCTCTCTTTTTTTTTTTTTAAAGATTTATTTATTTATGCATACAGGAGCTGGGGTGTAGGCCAGAGGTGGGGTGTGTGTGAGAGGATTCACCAGAGACAGAGTGGGGAGCAGAACAGGTAGATTGAAATACACTGCTAGGGGAGCAGCAGGCACAGGAGATGTCTGCTGCCAGGTGGGTTAGCTCCCTGGCCAGGGATCTAACTCCTATTGCACTGACTGGTGATAGCTTCATAGTGCTGAGACTTAACCCTTTGTGCCACCAGGAAGGCCCTGTCTCTTCTCGTAATATGGCAACAAGGACATTTGACTGGCAAGGGTGTTTTCTTTCCAGAGCTTGGAGATCCTTGAATAAAATGTGATGGTAAGCTGCAATTAGATATGTGGGTGGATATTAGTATTCAAGTACATCACGTTTAAGCAGAGGCACTGTGCTTTTCCCTACCTGAGGCCACCCTGGTGCAGTGCCATTGCTTCAGGTCACTGCTTCTCATAGGGCTGTTGGTTTGAGGTTGCAGGTTCCAGAAACAAAAAAGGCTGGTGTTGAGCTCTAAAACCAGGGAGTTTTTTTATAGTTAGAACTGGGCCACACAGTTCTATCACAGTCAAGTCAGGCATTGACCAAGTATAACCATAACTTGTTCACTTTTCTTTGGAAGTACAAATGATCCCAATCGACATTTGCACCAAACTTTGGAATAGATTACTGGAGTCATGATAGGTCCTCCATTTTGGATTAGATCCTGCAGCAGTAAGAACAAGGTCATCTATCCTAGTCATCTTTCATATGGAAAATACATCCTCCTCGGGACTACAAAAGGCTCACAATTTGTCCTGTTTTAAAATTTTATTTGATTACTGGATTTGCTTTTGGATACCGTAAAACTCCCCCAAGCTATCGATTCTGACTTCCTAGATGACATCCCCCTGCCCTCATCGACTGCACAGGCGTTTCCTTGGTCAGTGTTTTACCTCTACCTTTAAAAGGAGATGATTTTAGGCCTTGTGAATGACAAAATTCAAAACGATCATTAGCTCACATTCTCCCCGCCCCCCACGGCCGGAATTCCCTTTTTGCTAGTGACGATGAAAGCGATTTCGCCGCCAGCTTTCTCCCCTCGCACTCGGCGGCGGCGCGCGGGGTCGCACGCGTCCCGGGGGATGAGGTCATTCCCGTACACAGTGCGCGCGCGGCCGTGCTATCCGTACACACGCCGGGACTTCTCGGGGGAAGGGCGGGACGCGAACAATGATGCCCCCATTTCACGTCTACACGCTGCACCCCGCCCCCGTCCCCAACCCGGGGGGGGCGCCGGGGCGGCCGCCCGCGGGGCACGGGCAGCGGCACCCGCCCGGCGCCCACCGACTCGCGGGCCGGTCCCGAGGCGGCCGCGAGGACACTGCGCGCCGGGCGCGGGCGGACCCGGAGTCCCCGGCCCGGCCCCGCGCCCAGTCACGCTTCGCGGCCGCCGCCTCCCGGCCCCCCACGCCGGCGCCCGTAGGTCCCGCGCCCCGGCGGTCTCCGCGCCCCGGCTGCGGGGACGCCCGGGGGCTCCCCCAGCCGCGGGCGAGCGGGGCGCTGCCGGGAGGAGGTCGCCGGCAAGGACAGCCCGGGTCGCGGAGGCCCCGGCGGGCGGCGGGGCGGGGGCGGGGGCGGCCCCGAGCCCAGGGGGCCGAGGGGGCGGGGTGGGAGGCAACAAAGAGCCTCCAGTCACCCGGCGTCGCCGAGCCGCTCCCGCCCCGCCCCGCGCTCCGCAGTCCGCGGGGGCCCCGGCCGGCGGCGGGAGGCGCGCCCGGCCCCCGCGCCCCTCCCCCCGCGCCGCCCCCTCGCCCGGAGAGGCGGGAGGAGGCGGCGCCTGCGTGCTCCTCCGCGCGCCCCGCCCCCGGCCCCGCGGCGCCCGGCGCTCCTCCCGCGGCTGCTGCAGCTGCCGCTTGCACACGGCGTCGGCGGCGGCGCGGGCTGCGCGGGGCGGCGGCGGCGCGGGCCTGGGGAGCGGCGGCGGCGCGCGGGCCCGCGGACTCCCTCGAGGGCGGCTGCGGAGGCGCGGGCGGAGGCGGCGCGGAGGAGGAGGAGGTGGGGGCTGCGGCCGCCGCGGGACCCGCTCGGCGCCTCGGCCTCGCCGCCCCCTCCCCAGCCTTTCTCTCGCCCGCTGCCCTCGCGCTCCGGCCGGCGCCCGGCTTTGTGCGCGCGATGGTGTAGCCCCCGGCGCCGACGGAGGAGCCGGACACTTGTCTCGCGTCTCCGGGCCGCGTCCCCGCCCCAGGAGGAGAGACCCCCTCGGCCCGGCGCCCGCCGCGCCCGCCGGCTCTGGGGCAGCCTCGGCGCCGCCGGCACCATGAGGTGAGGGGCGCGGGGCGGGGGCCGGGCGGGCCATTGTGCCGCGGGAGCCGCGACCCCGCTTCCCGGGGACCCCGCCTTCTCGCTCCGGCGCGGCGCGTCTCCCCCGGGCTCCGGTCTCTTTCTCCCCAGGCTCCCTTTTGTCCCTCCTCATTTCTCTTTCTTTCTCGTCGCCCTTCCCAACCCCTCTCACGGGGGGTCTCGCTTCGACGTTCTCTCGTTTTCCCTCAAATGCTCCTCTTACGCCCTGGATTTCCCTTCCTAAATTTAATTTGCTCCCGGCTCCCTCCCCCCCAGCCTTTGCCAGCCAAACCTGGGAGATGGGGAGGGGTTCGAGAATCGAAGCGTGCATGTTGCTGGGAAACAGGTATTTTTTCCGTCTATATGTAAAGACGTCGTGCACTTTTATTACGAAACTCCCGTGTTTAATTAAAAAAGGAAGAAAAGTTGGAGAGATCTGAAATCTCTGCGGGTAATAAAGTGCTCTGCTCGTGGTAGGTGAGGGAGCTGAGAAAGGTGGAATTTCACGGTGGGGGAAGGGAAAGAATGGGTTAGGTTGTGGGGGGCAGTGAAAACCTGGGATAGGTAAGTTGTTTGGGGTGTGTTGGAAAACCCTTTCTCTCCTTCCTCTGTAGCAGTCTGTGTTGCATTGCAGCAGCGGCTTTCCCCCTTTTCTCTGTAATCAATAAGACAGAAGCTAAATTATTTTTTCAACCCCAAATAATTGAACATACGTCGTCAAACATTTTTAAAAATCGATACGATGAGACCTATGGTGTGATATTTTTCTTTCTTATTTCTCCAATTGTGTAAGAGAATAAACCGCGATGTGGTTTGTCATTCATTGGAGATTTTTTTCCAGCCCTGTTTTGTGTCCATAACCTGCTCTTTTTGGATTGGCGCAAGACTTCGTGAGAAATGGGACATGGTAGACTGAAGGCTGATCCATTCTGCGTTATCATCCTTATAGGCCTTCCTTTTAGGTTAAACAATTGTGGATAAAGTAAATTACCCCATTTCTGTCTCCTGGAAGAGATAGTCTTACAGTTCATTTGGATTTGAATCTCCTTTGTGTTAAAGATTAATGGCCAACCGTTGCCAAGACCTTTATAATGTAATACAATGAGATTTGAAAGATATAGACAAATTCCTTTGCTTTGGCAAGAAAATGTCATGTCATTGGAATTCTTTCTTAACTCAAGCAGTTTCCATTTTAAACTTTATTGTTATTTTTTCTATCAAAGTTGAACGCTTGGTCATTTAAAAAAATATTTTGTGTTGTAGCTGTGTGGTTTTCACTTGAGCTTACTGTGAATTTGAATTGTTTTTCACGGACTCCAAATTACAGACCTTTATTATGATGGCCTTAAACATTGTGTTTAATGAGGCTGTGTCTCTAATTGACCCCTTTTCCTTAGTGATTTCGAATGTTATTTTCAAATGTAATAGATCAGCTCAAGATGTCATTGTGGCATGCACCCCCCCCCAAACATAATATTTGTAAAATGAGACTTGAAAAACTTAAGTCATACGTTTGAGCATTTTTTTAAAATCAAGTTACTAATGTCCTTGAAAACTCAGGAACTATAATAAAACATGTAGTGTTACAGCTGTTGTACTATATATTGTTGATTTCTTTAAAGAGTTCATACAATAGTGGTCTTGTAGACCAGAAGTTATCAATTTTTATTCTAAAACTTTGGGTTAATTTATCTCAACATTAAGTTAAATGTTGAGAAACAGTGAATTGGTTATTTTAAGGGAAAATGATTGTAAGGTTGTCTGATATAGAGATTGTGAATGGAAAAAAAGTTAAGTTTTGGTATACAGTGAAGTTTGATCTTTTTCATGTGCAGTTGTCAGTCTGGCACAGATAAACTGTATCTTCACTTGTAAGTTACTTTTTTAATAAAAAGTTTGTAATTTTTGAAGTTTTTTCCTATTCTGTTAATAAGTGTAGAGAGGGGGGAATTACACTGATGCTTTCCAGTAGCATAAATATAGACTATATGGTACACAGGTCTGAAAAGTTTATTCAAGCAGTTTGCAGTAATACTTTGTAGGCTAATTTTGAATAATTCAAGAGCAGTAAAGAGGATCAGCTTTTCACTTTGGAAGGCACTGGATTATTTGGTAGGTGGTTTGATTAACTCATGTACACACATTTCCTTAGGTGCCTGTTTAAGTAGCCTGTGCAAAAAGCTTTGAGATATTTTGGTGCTTAAGAGGGCTTTTCAGATTATATTAATATTTGACTTAGTCTCAATGATGCTTTCAAGTATTATAGAACATAAATGTTATACTCTTAAGTCTTTTTTTAGTTATGCTAAGGAGTAGTTACGATGTTTTAAAGGCCATCCAGAGATAGGATTGCATGGGTTGATCAGAAATCAGTAGAGAGGATATGAAGAATATGTTATGGTTTAAGTATTTGTGATAAGATCTCTCAGATGATTTTAATTTTAGAAATAGAGTGCTCACTGTGATATAATGTAATAATCCTTATGCAGAAGGGAACTGAATACCACTTATTCCTGAAACAATTTTATAGGCATTCTATACATGTAGAAAACCCTAGATAGAATTACTTTGTTAATACTTAGCTTAAAGATAAGAATTTAAAAAATGAGGAACTATTTCATAGAAAACAGCAAAAAGGGTTAGTGGTTAGTGTAACATTCAGCTTTTTATTTCTATTATTTTTCTTTTATGAAATGTTCGAGAAGTAAAAGATGATTTGTTATTAAGTATGTATGTAGTATTGATATAGTGTTTGCCTTTTAAATGATTGCTTTTTTTTTAAACTGGTGGTTACTTGCTCACGATTTTCTTTTTCTTATTTTTTTAATAGAAAGAGGAGTTTGTCTGATTTAAAACAGTTGCATATAGCCTAGTGGCTAAGAGGAGTTCAGAAGTTTTTGGATTGACGTTCTTGGATCCATATTAGCCTAGGTTTCCATTCACTGACATTTTCATGTAAGAAGGCATAGTAGGATTGTGAAGATTTATCTAAGCATTTTATACTAGCTGGATGACATTGAGCTAGTCACATTATTCCGCTGTTCTGTATTTTAATATATGTAAAATAGGGATAATTCTTTATGGGGAAGTGAGGGGCAAATGACAATGGAAGAGAAGGTGCTTTGTATACTTAAAATGTTATATACGTTTATATTACTCATTTTGTTTCAGTGCCTAGTTAAGTCTAATTTGCTTTATGCTTTATATAAAACTTTTGGGTAATTTGCTTTACCTTTCTGGGCTTCATCCATTGTATATATTTAGAGTCTTTGAAATACTTTTTTATGATTCTTTTTAGCCTTCATTTTAGGTAATAAGTTTAATCTACACTTTAGAGCATGGTACAATCAAGTCTCTGCCGTGCCACATTTTATATGAGGCTAACTTGTTAATTGAGCAAACTGGTAGAAACAGAGATAATTATATTATTTCACAGGATTGTTGTGTCAAGTGTCAAGTGAGATATCCATGAAAGGATACAAATAGTACTTTCTCTTTTCTTAAGGGTTTTGATTTGTATTTGCAGCTCTGGGATGTGTGACTTTCCCATAGACATTTATTTTAGGCACAGGAGCCAGATTTGCATTTTTTGGAATATTATAGTGCAGTGTTCTTAAGCATGTGTTTTGCATTGTAGGTACTTACTAAGTGGATTAATCTTGAATAAGAGTGTGGATTAATGGAGAAAATTCATTGAAGTTTATCTAGTAGCCGAAGTTTTAAATACCTTGTAACTTGGCAAGCTCCGTTTGACTAGTATGGAAGAAATTACACACAGAACTGATAGCTTTGGTTACTTATCCCATATGCAACTTAAATCTGAGGTGATTGTATAATTTATAAAACACCCTGTCCTTACCCCTTCGATAAAGAGGACCTGGAAAAATGTTTGTCATTTTTTATATAATTGTGTGTGTGTGGGGGGGGAATGATATTCAAATTCTTCTTGTGACAGCTTGAAAGTTGCCGTTTTCTCCTTAACTCCTGTGTCTTTGAATTGATGTTGGAATTGAATGAAAGGAAAAGTTAAAAAAGAATCTGAACTGAGGTTTCATCTCAGTGGATCCACACAAGGATTTATAGAGTTTGCTGGAATAGAAAGCAAACTTGGAAAGTAGTACTTTATTTATTTACCTCCCAGCTATTCCTGTGTGTCCCTGTGCCCTCTGCAAATTTTTTACTATTGTGTTTATTGCATTGTTTTAGTATTATCTGGATCTATCTGTCTTTGAAACTCCTTGAAGGCAGGGACTACATTTTAATTTTCATGGCACCAGCAAAATATTTGGTAAACAATACGTGCTCATATGGATTTTTGACTTTGGGTTGTTTTCCAGAATTATATTCACTAACAACACTTATCTTTGGAGCACCTGCAATGTTCTGTCAACTGCAATGGGTATAATAATAGTGTTTGACATAGTAAATGTTAATAAAGTTATTTAATTCAAACACAAAATCCACAGGGATAGGTATAGAGTTTATTTTAAAAACAGGACAAAATACCCACTAGTGTCCATTATCCATCAAACCCACCCTTGTGGTGCATGTAACTCTTGAAGTTGATGATTTCATATTCTTTGTTATATACCCAGAAAGTGATTGCTGGGTCATATGATTTTATTTTTAGGTTTTTTTGAGGGCAATCCATACAACTTTCTGAAATGGATGTACCTCCAATTTACATTTTTACCAACAGTGTGTAAGGAAGTGTTCTTCTTTCTCTACATCCTCCCTGACACTTGTTGTTAACAGTCTTTTTGATGTAAACCAGATACTTGTTATAAAACAGTCTTTGGTATCTTACTGTGGTTTTAATTTGCATTTCCCTAAGTGATGCTAAACATTTTTTTCCCCCATATATCTGTTGGCCATCTCTATGTCCTCTTTGGAAAAGTGTCTAATCAGATCTTCTGCCCATTTTTAATTGGGTTTTATTTGATAAATTGCATGACTTCTTTGTATGCCTTTATTGGATATGTGATATGCAAATATTTTACATTCAGTAAGCTTTCTTTTTAGTCTGCTGATAATTTCTTTCACTCTACAAAAATCTTTTAATAGTGTAGTTCCAATTGTTTTTATTTGCTTCATTTCCCTTGCTTTTGGGGTCAAGTTCCCAAAGACATGTTATACATACATACATACATAGTGTGTGTGCACGTGTGCAAGCACACACACACATATTTAATGATGTCAGGTCTTACATAAAAGTCCCTAATAAATTTTGAATTTATTTTTGTGTACAGAGCTAGGGAGTGGCCCAGTTTCATACTTTTTACATGTCACTGTCTGGTTTTTTCAATGCCATTTGTTGAAGAGATTTCTCTATTGTATAGTCTCCTT